CTCCTGTGTTGTACCAGTGCCAAAGACTTCACGCCCCAAGGACCTCAACAGCTACAGGCCGGTGGCTCTGACATCCCACCTGATGAAGACCCTGGAGCGGTTGGTCCTGGCTCAGCTTCGGCACCTGGTGAGCTCATCACTGGACCCACTTCAGTTTGCCTACCAGCCTGGCATTGGAGCGGATGATGCCGTCATTCACCTCCTACATCGTTCCCTCGCTCACCTGGAGACCGCTGGAAGCACTGTGAGAATCATGTTCTTTGATTTCTCCAGTGCCTTCAACACCTATTCTTCCCTCGGTTCTGAAGGACAAGCTGGTGAACTCTGGAGTGGACCATCACCTCACTACCTGGATTTTGGACTACCTCACCGACCGACCACAGTATGTGAGGACTCAGGGCTGTGTGTCGGACAGGGTCGTCTGCAGTACGGGGGCCCCACAGGGAACGGTTCTGGCTCCGTTCCTCTTCACCATCTACACTGCAGACTTCTCCCACAATTCCACCCAGTGCTTCCTGCAGAAGTTCTCTGATGACTCTGCAATAGTCGGCCTCATCACTGATGGGGACGACAGGGAGTACAGAGGACTGACCCAAGACTTTGTGGACTGGTGCCAGCTGAACTACCTCCAGATCAACGCCAGTAAAACCAAGGAGCTGGTAGACTGAACATCCAAGGTATGGACATTGAGGCTGTGGACAGCTACAGGTACCTTGGTGTTCATCTGAACAACAGACTGGACTGGACTCATAACTCAGACGCCCTCTACAGGAAAGGGCAGAGCAGGCTGTACCTGCTGCGGAGACTCAGGTCGTTTGGAGTGGAGGGCCCACTCCTGAAGACCTTCTATGACTCTGTGGTGGCCTCAGCTATCTTTTATGGTGTGGTCTGCTGGGGCGGCAGCATCTCTGCTGGGGACAGGAAGAGACTGAACAGGCTGATCAGAAGGGCCAGCTCTGTTCTAGGATGCCCTCTGGACCCAGTGGAGGTGGTGAGTGACAGGAGAATGGTGGCTAAGCTGTCATCCCTGTTGGACAACATCTCCCACCCCATGCAGGAGACTCTGACAGCACTGAGCAGCTCCTTCAGTGGCAGGCTGCGGCACCCACGGTGTGGGACGGAGAGATTTCGCAGGTCTTTCCTCCCCACTGCTGTCAGACTCCACAACAAAGATCAACTGATCAAACACACACATCCACACATGTGCAATAACACTAAGTGCAATACTCTTTTTCTGACAAAGTTGTATTTTTACTCAGTTGTATAAAGCATTTGTATTCTATTTTTATCCTATTGTATATTTTATTCTATTTATTCTACTGTATATAGTATTTTATTTTATTCTATTCTGTACAGTTGGGTACAGTATTTTATTCTTATTGTATTCTAATTTTTGCTATATAACTTTTGCACTGTCCACTTCCTGCTGTGACAAACAATTTCCCACGTGTGGGACTAATAAAGGTTATCTTATCTTTATCTTATCTTATCTTATCTTATCTTATCTTATCTTATCTTATCTTATCTTATCTTATCTTATCTTATCTTATCTTATCTTATCTTATCTTATCTTAAAACACTGTCCATCCATTATGTAGACCTGCGTGTCATTTGCAAAGTTGTGCGAGCTTCCATTGAATCCCAGCTCACATTAGATCTGATGACTTTCCCACATAGTCAGTTCTTATTTGCAAAATGCTTCTTGTTCCTACTATCAGTTTTCCTAACTTTAATATTCTCCAGATGTCCTCCTGTTTTCCAAAAACCTCCACTTTTACTTGCTCTTAGTTCTCAAGATCTTCTCAAAGGAATGCCTGTCAATCAGAAAGAGAATATCTTTATTTCACGGGACCATAAACCTCCTTTTGTGCTAAAATACCTGAAACATTTCTGTGAGTAATGCCTGCACAGAAATATATTTGGTAAAAATCACATAAATGATGTATTGGCTCAGATTATAAAGGTATACTCAAAGAACACATTGATGCATAATATTAATTACTGCAGTGGGAATCTGGACCAGTAGCAGATTCCCACTGCGACAACGCACTAACAAATTAAAGACTACACTCTCAGCCACATTAGAAGATTCACCTGTTCAACTGCTCCTTTATGCAAATATCTAATCAGCCAATCACTTGCCAGCAGCTCATTCCATTCAAATATCCACTTAGAAGCAGCTCTGGGTGAAAATGCCTTCTTGATGCCAGACATCAGAAAGGTCTGAGCCTGGTTGCTTCCAGCAGATTAAAGGCAACAGTACCTCAAATAACCAGTTGTTACAACCAAGGCATGCAGAAGAGCATCTCTGAATGCACAAAATGTCAGCAGAAGACCACCCCGGGTCACACTCATGTCAACTAAGAACAGGAAACCGAAGCTACGATTCGCAAATGCTCATTAAAAACAGAAGATTTGAAAAACATTGCCTGGTCTGATGAGCCTGGTTTGGCATGCAGATGGTATGGTAAGACTTTTGTATAAACAACAGAAAAGCATGGTTCAATCTTGCCAATATGAATGATTCAGGCTGGTCTTAGTGTACCAACTGAGCATTGTTTAAACGCAGCCTACTTGAGTTTTGTTGTAGACCATGTCCATCCCTTTATGACCCCAGTATACCCTTCTTCTCATAGCTGCTTTCAGCAGGATAACGTTGTATTTCACAAAGCTCAAATGATCTCAAACTGGTTCCTTATATACTGGAATGAATGCACTCTACTCAAATGACCTCCACAGTTATCAGATCCCAATCCAACAGAGCACCTGTGCAGCAACTGTGTGATGCTGTTATGTCAATATGGGCCAAAATCTCTGAGGAATGTTTCCAGCAGCTTGTTGAATCCGTACTACCAGAGAATGAAAGCAGCTCTTAAGGCTAAATGAGGTCCAACCTGGTACTGGAAAGGTGTACCTAATAAAAAATAGTGTGTCCATGTGTGCGTCATTGCAGTTTGCTTTAATAGTCTCAGATTGATCAAATATATTCTGATTTCTGTGCAGTATAGTCAATGCGTGCTGCGAGTACTGTTAATGGAGGCAAAGTCAGGTTATTAATCTTACTTTCTTGGACACTTGGAAGAAAAATGAAAACGTGTGAAAAAAGAAGTGGGACATGGTGACAAGCAGGCATCCTGTTGCCTCAATCATCAGTTATTCTGACTTAGAGAAAAGAGGACCTTTATTAGTTACACTCCTGTGCCAACTACAGGGATCGCTGGAGGTCAGAATGACCCAACCCTGAACTCTTAAAGGAACTGAAACTTAAGATGTAAAAGACAGAATTTAAATAGTAAAAATGGCAGACCAGACTGTTGTGCCGTTTGCCATTTGAAAATGTGTTGGTTTTTACAGTCAGGACCTAACTTACATTTAGTAATATTTGTAATCAAAGTTGGTGGCAAAAATCCAATTACATCGTCACTCCATAATCAAATAGATAATTTCAGAACATTTGCAATACAAAAATAATGCATGTAATATTACAATGATGTCTGTTGTTTAAAACTTTCCACTGTAAAGTATGAAATTTCATAACATCTACAATTAAAGGAAGATTTCACAGATGAGTTCAGTATCATAAATTTAGCACCAGAACATATTTTCTTTTTCTTTATGCTTTTTTAAATGTTCTGTTTATAAACAAATATCCAAAATTTAAAAAATCACCATTGATGATTTTTAAATATGAATCAAAAACAATCACCATCATCTTTTTGTGAACAGGTATATTTGTGTTTCACCTCCTGTTTTTTACTAAGCTGTTTTTCCTCCCTGTGGTTTCTTCTTCTTTTTTAAAAAATAATTTCCCCCAATATTATTAAGATAGGCACTAAAGGTTAAACTACTTTCATGCATCTACATTTTCACTAATGAACATGAAAATTACTTTTATGAACTTTAAACCTCCTGATCACAGAGCCTGTTATAGTACCATATGTCACGGTCCGCGGAAGTAGACTGGAGTGAGATGGAGGGCCCAAATGCACACCCAAAAGGAGACAGAACTGACTTTAAACAAAAGGCGAGCTGTTTATTAGGCTGGAAAAACATGAATACAAAAACAAAGCAAGGCGAACAGGGGGTGAGAACTAAAACTAAAACCTAAACTGGGAAAACATAAACTGTGATGACTATGACAAAAGTGAGGTGAACATGATTCTGAAGAGGTACATGTGAGGAACTATGAAGAGAAAACACGAAAAATGAACATGACCTGAACAGACTCATGAAAGACTTTAAACCTGAAGTTACTTAGAGGGAGGAAAACAGACGACCTGAATGAAAACACAGAGACTAAATACACACAGCAGGTGATCAGGGGAAGTGGACACACGGGGAAACAGCTGACTGGAATAAACATAACGACGCCGACTCCCGACTCTTCAAAATAAAACAGGAAACATTAAGAAATGTAGACATGACAACAAAAGCTTGACAACGTGGAACATACAGACCTAAAACACATGGGGAGACACATGAGAACAGATAAGGGAGATGAGATCACGGGCATAATTAAAAGTAAAACACCGAGGACAAGAAAAAGACTCAAAAAAATCAGGAGAAATTGATTAAACAAAAACTAGAATAAAAGTCAGCTAAATCCTAACTATTAGTACCTACAGCACAAGAACTTAACATATTTCCATTATAATATAAGAAAATCAAAAATACAAAATATAGTCAAAATGCTGGCTCACAGACTGAGCTTAATGTTCTAGCTCATTTTAAATAAATAAATAAAGACTTAAAATTACTTGACCACCTCAATGGTTGTGTTGTGAGGCAAGATGTGGTTTGGCTGCTGAATGAACTTTTGCTGAAAAAGACATCCGTTTTAAAGATTAATCATCACATATGAATGAATAATATTAATAAGTTCAAACAGGCAAATCTGCTCATGTCCCGAAACGGACACACAGATACACACACAGATACACGTCCCAGTGTGCTCATATGATCAGAATTAACTCCAGGAGGCGGTCTTCTGTTAGGGTTAGGGTTAGCTATACAGTCCTCTCAGCACTCGCCTGTAGCTTCTCCCGGACAGTGCTGTCTTTCGGGGATTTGCTTCACAGTTTCGTCATTTGCTCAAATAGCTGTGTGTGAACTTTCACTTAGAAAGCCAAAGGACTACTTTTGGATTTTATTTTTTACGTCATCATCGGTCACATTCCGTTACTGACTGTCAACTCTGAGAAAGGTAAAAACTTTATTTATTGGCTACTGCGTGTCAGTCTGTGTTTCTGTGCGATGACGAGACTAAGAATGGTTTCACTGTCCCAACCTGTGTTGTTATTTTGCGGTCAAAGTATTTTTGAGTCTCCGGCTCCCTTTAAATTCATCCAAGTCATGCGTCTTGAGGCTCGTGCGCAATTGACCTCACTCATTACGCCAGCTCGTGCGCGGCCCCAGCTACTGTAGCTTGAAAGCTTGAACTGGAAAAAGTGGGAAATGGGCTGGCACACGTGTGTATGGGGGTGGTCGTGGAGCCTGAGCCGAAAACAGGACTGTCAGAGTCCAACTTTAGCAACCTAAAGCGTCTGATTATGCTCATCGACACATTACATTACTGTAGAAAATCTATCTATCTATCTATCTATCTATCTATCTATCTATCTATCTATCTATCTATCTATCTATCTATCTATCTATCGCATGTGACAGTTATTTCTTTTATGCCCCTTGTTTCCTTGGTTCAGAACACACTAAACAAAAGAAACATGAAATATTCAGAATGTGAGCTTTTACAGTGTGAGTTTGGGGTTAAAGGACAGTCCCAGGTGACATTACGGCAGCTGCTTAATAATTTAACCCAAGTGACTCAACACAGTGAATCTATGTCAAGTCATGGTTAGTTTGCCTTAATCTTCAACGGCGAAGTTGAACATTCTTACATTTTATTCATGAGGATAGTTTTCAAAAGCCTGAGCTCCATCATCTTCTTGTATGTAACATTCCTCTACCATCTAATGCTGCGCAGCCTTCTCCTCCAAACTCCCCACCCCTCTTTATTGTACATCCAAATATTGTAAATATTTAAACAATGAAAACTGAGCCTGCAGTATTAGTGGACCTTGGTGTCTGTGTGCACTCATGTTTTTGTTGTTAAAGTTGTATCCTAACACCCAGGGGACTTCCTCTATGTCCGATGAGTCACTGATTTCTTGCTATTTGGGGGTTAACACCCCCCCCCCCACACACAGGCCTCTCAGTCACTCATAAACAATCAAGGGTAGAGAGCTGGAGAGAATACCAACTGGAAATCACCTACAGTTGTTTAGACATTTAAATAAAACACATTAGGGTTGCTGTTGGAGAGAAATTAAGCTCAAGCTGAAACCTTTAATTTCTTTCTCTTCCAGCTGTCTGCGGTGCTCGTCTTCTGGAGTCATGTTTTCCAAGGCCACTGCCAACTTCGTCCGTGAGATTGACCCCGAAGGACTTCTCATCTACGTCTCTCGAGTAAATGACTCTCACAAACTGGTTCCCATGGCCCTCGTGATCAAACGCAAGCGCTGGTTTTGGCAGAGACCCAGGTACCAACCAACAGATTTCACTCTCGGCGACTTGTTGCTGGGTGACAAGGAGCTCATGCCGGGTAGGTGTGCAGATTCAAACTTAAGTTGTTACAGGAAAAATGTAGTGCATGTGAGTTCCCAGACACATTTCAACAAAGCTGATATCGGGGTAACACCTTGTGTTTTTTCAGGAGTGTCAGAGTCAGAATTCTTGACCTACAAGGGGACATATGGAGCTAAACTTGCTAGTGATCTGGGCCCCGAAGCCGGCTCTGCAAGTATCAGACTGGAGGGGCGTGGCACTACCAAGCTCCAGTCATGTTTTGGCCAGCTGAAGAAAGAGGAGGTGAATGTGAAGAAGCTATTACTTGACTCGGACAACAGGTATGATGTAATATTTTAAAAACTTTTTATTTTATTTTTAAAAACTGCTTTCACATATACAGGTTGTCATCGAAGAGTAAGGAGATGAGGTCTTCAATGGTGATGTAATGAACTCCTTATAAATGTGGACTTCAGGCATCACATGCTAAACACCTCAGACCACAGCGGCGTGGTGTCATTTTCCATTTGTTAATCAGTCTGTCTCAAACCATTAACACCAGCTTCTCTTCACATTAGGTCGGTGGACATGCAGCACGTGCTGGTGAGGCAGATAGAGAAGCGGGCTGAGGTGGTGGGGCTAGTGAAGGAGAGGATCCTCACCACCAGCCCCTGTTCCATCACCCAGACAAAAGTGGAAGAGTGCACCTTTCAAGGGGTGCTCGGGCTGGTTGGCATGCTGGGGAGTTCGGTAGGCCTCTTAAAATCTTTTTTAGTCATGATGCCATGAGAGTTTTCAATAATTCTATCAGGTAAATTATTATCAGCATATGTCTTATTTTGTAGTTTGATCACCATAAATTTGTGAAATTCTGTTTATGCCCCCCCCAAAATATAAGAAAAAAAGAAATCAGTCAGCCTTCCTCTAATCAATCCTATATGTGTGTGTATATGTGTGCTCCCAGGTGTGTGTGAAGGACAGCAACAGCATTGAGATAGACAGCGATGTTTCTGTGGAGATCCCCTCTGGTACAGTCATCGCGTACAGCATCCTGGAACTGGAGGTTAAAAAAGACGGACAATACTGTGAGTGTGTGTGAGTGAGAGTGTGTGTGGTAAACCACATGTGTGGTTATGAACGTGAGAATGACAATATCACTTTAACATTCTGGTGTGACCTCATTGACCACGCATACAACCAAATCAATGAAAAACTGCTGCTGTGTGTGGCAAAGGTTTTAAATGGATATCATAGCTTTTCTACGGTCTCTGCTTTGATTAAACACACATAGGTGTTTTCTTCAATGGCCTGAAGTTACCCTGCTGATATTTGTGTGATTATAATGGCAGTCTATAGGGATTGACTCATGTTTGGAACTAGCCTCAAGTGCAACTTCAGAAACTGGGACTCCATGTTGGCTTCATTTTTTTAGTTTCCTCTTGGGGCTAGCTTATATTGCCTGGAATGCCCAGGTGAGCAATCCTACAGCAGCCTCCAAGATGGCAGCGGTAGTATTTACAACAATGAAGCAATGATGCAGGTTGTATTCAATCAACAGTCTTATCAGTCTTTTTGTCCTCTGGCCATTTCCCCTGCCACGGATGAAATGCTCGCTTACAGGTACTGTACTGCTGTTAGAGACAGGAGAGCTTAATGAGGGTGTACATGCTCATCAGGTGTTGTTGTAATTATAGTAACAGATGTAGCTGCCATCTACTTATGAAGAGGGTAATCTTTTATTGTGTGGATACCTCAAAGGCATCCACACTATTGAGTTCCTGTTTCTCTTTATTCTTTATTCCACTATAATCTAGTTGCTTCCGTATGTTTTTTGGCACTTACTACTCCCTCAGTTTTCAGCCAATTTTCACTGTTCAAACTTTTAAAAATTCTGCTGTTTCTGCTAATGGGTCCTATGACTTTTGGTGCTCATAACTTCTATACTTTTTGAGATATTTAATTTTTTTTTTTGCAATATTCTTTGCCCATTTCTTCCACATTGTCAGTGGGGTCACTGATTTTCCTCGCCAGGTTGACTCAGTGAGATGAGATGCCGTTCTCAGACTGGGAGGTTCAAATCCCGCTTATGGCAACATTTCTTTCAGTTAACAGTTAAACTTGTTTAACTCTTTTCAACACAAATTTCAGCTTTTTCACCCCTTTTCAGCAAATTTTTCAGTTTTTTCTGCTGTTTTCAGAAAAAAACTCTTTTCAACAGAAATTCTGCTCATTCACCTCCTTTCAGCAGAATTTTCACCTCTTTTCAGCCCAAATTCTGCTTATTCACCACTTCTGCAAAGTTTTCAGCCTTTTCACCACTTATCAGCACAATTCTCAGCAGCTCCTGCTCATTTCAGCAGATTTGTCAGTCTCTCCACCTCTTCTTTGTGAGAATAAGTTTGGCTCAGTGAGATGAGTAGCTGCCTTGCAGTGTTGGGACTAACGCGTTATTAAGTAACGCGTTACAGTAACTACGTTATTATTGTGGTAACGAGCACGGTAACTAGTTATT